TTTTATAATTTTTCTAATTATTTATGATAATTTTTTTGTAAAGATAAAGAGTCATGTTATTAAAATTGTTAATATAAAAATATTTTATATTTTTATAATTATCAAATCAATAATTAATAATATTTTTAAATTGAAAGTTTGTGAATAGCTTTTGAATATATTCTAAATTGAATTCTAAGCATAAATAACTTTGTATAAACAAATTCGCATATGCCCAAGTATATATCCTGTCTGCGATCACATGTTGCATATGGATTTTGATAAATCTTTCGAGAACGTCAAGTAATTTTGTTCATGAGTTAATTTTTTTTATATATAAAAAGAGAATGCTAAATATCAAGTCCTGATTATGGATCAAACACACTACTAATCCAAATACTCTGTACAGTGTAGCAACAACACCATCTTCACACCCTAAACCACCTATGTCATAACCCCACCATGAATCTTCACGTCACAAAGGTTGCTAATTACAACAAGCAAATGACGTCACACCCGTGTAAACATCCATACACAAAGGGGCAGAATCTATAACAAGACAAACCAAATCACCAATGTACAAACATAACCAGCCAACCAGGTATGGGCTAAAGACAAACAAGAGTATGCGGTACCAAGTAGTTTGCATTTGATAACTCTACAGAAACGATACTTCCAAGATTACCAAGAAATACTCACAACAGAGCTTTTTCCCGCACTGGATTACAAATTTACCTGCGGTGAAAGACGAATGCCAGCCTTGGCTAAGGTGTTTGCTTCATTATTAACACACCTCGGGACAGTCTGAATTCTCCATGAGAACTTAGGTAAAAGCTGGAAACAATACCTGCAATCAACACTAAAACAAGAAGGGGCATTATGAGGAGTATTAATCCACGAAATCACAAGACTGCTATATGATTCTATAATCAGACGAAATGATGGAAACCATGAAGACTCTAGAAAACGGTGACAATCTTCCAGAACTGCTTGAAGTTCAGCACCCGAGGGAGCCGAATGACCAGCGGATCTCGAAAATTTAGCAAGTACAATACCATTGTGGTCTTTGAGAATGCCCCCGATACCAGCCGGACCATAACTCCCTCTAATGGCACCGTCCACATTGAACGTGAGGCTGCCAAGAGGAGGCCCTATCCACATACTTTCCAAGATTTGGTTTTTTCTAACCTGAATAACACGAGCTGACGACGGGCAAAACAATATATCATAGACTGATTTAAATGAGTCAGGCCATCTAAATTTACACCAAGAACTAATACGCAGCAATGTCGTCTCAAATAATTGGTCCAAGTCTGTGTTTAAAGATGATCTCATTACGACAGAGCTAAAGGGATCAAACAAGACTTAAGAAAGCAAGCTTCCAAACATTTAGGGAACAAGGGCTAATTGGAGACGACATCCACATGCAGGAGAGAGCCGATGTTCATGAGTTAAACTGATTCAAGATTCGGATATCTTAGGTGGTGTTTGTTTTTGCAGAGCTAAAAGGTCTGCAGTCTGCGGACAATATCTGCAGGCATCTACAGTAGAAGAAGTGAACTAAAAGTTTGCAGTCTGCAAGAAGAAGACTGTTTGTTTTTTAACGTCTGCAGACTGCTAAAATAAACTGAAATATAAATAAACTGATTTTTTAAACTTAAAAGAGTTTTGCAATACTTAAATTTAAATAATTTTAGTTTTACAATACTGAAATTTAAATAATTCATACAACTACAATAATAAAATATTTAAAATAAATCAATCTATATTTTAAAATAAATCAATCCATATTTTAAAATAAATCAATCCATATTTTAAAATAATTTTTTTTATATTTTAAAATAAATCAATCCATATTTTAAAATAAATCAATCAATATTTTAAAATAGATTTAAATAATTTTAATTTCTTTGAAGAGGTTTGAAGACCTTTAAAGACATAAAATCATGTCTGCACCAAGAAGACCTCGCGCAGACGTTAAAAGAGTTTCTGTCTTCTAAAAAACAAACGGTCTGCGAAACCCAATGTCTGCGCGGCGCAGACATAAGAGCTTTGCAGACCTTACACAGTAAAAACAAACACCACCTTATTCTTTCTAATATTTTAATCATTTAGAAAAATAAATTAAAATTTATGTATCATTTATATTAAAATTGATTTTTATTTTTAAATAAATTAAATGATGTTATTCATTAGATATAAATTGGATATGTTAAGCAAAGCTGAAATCAGAGGAAAAAAACATTATATTCAAGATATTTTATAACATATACATTTTATGATATTCATATATTTATTTATTATATTATTTATTACTATGTTTTATTTATTTTTTATCATTTCGTGTCAGGATATAATGTTATTTAAGTTAAATTATATTCTTTCAAAAAAAATTATATATTTTCTTCATGGGAAAATTTGACGAAACCAGGTCCCAGTAGCTCTGAGGCCGAGCCATTGCCGTTAATAGGATGGGTTTTGAGCCCAAATATTTACCCATCCATGCCAAAATATTAAATTGGTTTATATAAGTATTAAATTTTAGGATAAACTATGTATTTAGTCACTCAATTATTGCTATAATTCAATTTTGCTTACTTAACTAATTTATTTCAAAATCATACCTAATGTTACGTTTTGGTCATCCGTCATTAAAATGTAAACAGAAATGTTGACATGACATTTTTTATTTTTTTCAATGATAACATGAGATTATCATATTGTGATATGTCAACATCACTGTTAATTTTTTAATATCGATTAATAAAAAATATAACTTTATGTATGAATTTGAAAAAAATAATAGTTGGATGATCAAACGAAATAAAAGTGGTAGTTTAGTGACTAAATATGTATTTTACCCTAAATTTTATTAAAATATGAAACATTCTTAAATAGAATTATGACATGTGATAATATTCAATTTATCTGATTCATATATGTAATATTTAATTGGTTTAATTGATTCAATTATTTTGAATTTCTATAGATTTGATATTAAAATTTAGTATTTAAAATCTATGATTTAATTGGTTTGATTGGTTCGAGCACCAACGATTACAATAATGATCGGGTGTTTTATTGTCAAATGATTGAGAGTATTTAAAACATATATTACTTTGTAATCACCATAGCTTAATAAAAAAACATCTATGATTTAATATATTTAATATTTAGGATTTAATATTTGGTATTAGGATTTATATTTTGTAAAAAAATATAGTGAAAGTTTAGTATTTAGAATTAAATAATATATTTAAAAGAAAGAATTCAATAACATTTATGATTTTAATATTTAAGTTTTTGTAATTACTACTTACATTTATATTTAACTATATACAAAATTAAAATTATGATTTTTCATAAAATTTGTTTTTATAATTAACTTTACAAATTATAAATTAAAAAATTGTTTTATAAACTTTAGACTGTATGTGATTTCCCAGGAAATTCATGAACGGTCCAGAGTCATCCCCATTATTGATTATGGGTTGAGAATATGGCTATTGGGTACATTAAATATTAAGTGATTTCAATTTGTCTGTGTATATATATATATATATATGAAGTTGAGTAAAATTAATCGAAGTTATTTAATTTATTCAATTTGTTCAGTAAAAAAATAAATAGCATTGGTCTAAGTTATAAAATAGACGTTGTTCTCCCAAAAAATCTTAACTTCAAGCAGTTATGTTTGTAGGATGTGTATTATCAATTGGTAAAAAAAATTCTAAATATACACTATCTTGTAATCACAACAAATTATTAAAAAATAAAAATTTATTAACTAAATAATTGAATTTTAAAATAAAAAATATTATAAATTTTAGCCATTTGATGAAAAAGATTAGATTGTTAAAATCTTCAAACACGAGACATCCCATTATTATTATTAATAATTTATTATTTTGAGCTTAGTATAAAGTAATATATGTTGAACGATAATTTATATTTATTTGATATTAAACATTTATACTCTTAGTATTTTTTATGTTTAAATCCGATACCTCAAAGAACGACAACAATTCTTATATCACCGAAATAAGTTAGTTCGTGATGATACATCCATCGATTATTAAAAATGCATATTGTTGTTATCCAAAGATAAAAGCCAATGGAGAAAAGGAAAAGGCTTGTTTCAAAGGAAAGTGCAAAGAACAACCCAAATGCACTGAATTGGACGTGGAATTTAGCATTCCACCTCAACCAACCACATCATTTTCATCATCCTCTCAAGACTTTAGCCATTTCTTTTATGAAAAACAAATATCAAATCATGTTATCAGATAAATCAATTTAATGAAGAATTAGATTTTTTTTTGTTTAGTTTAACATAACATTTATCACCGAAAGTTTTTTTTAATAGAAAACTGATAAAAACATCGGTTTCTAATTATTTTTCTCACCAATAATGATATTTGAGATTTCAACCTCTTAATTTTGTATTTAAAACTATCTATACCTTCAAATAAAATGCTTAGTATTAATAATTATTTAAATTTATCATTTATTAATTTTTTATGGTCAAAATTTATAATTTTTAATCACAACTATTTTTATATATTTTAAATAATTACCAATAATAAGTTGATGTTGTGGGATGAGACATTAGATTTTCTGAGTAAGGTCAAGAGTTTGAATCTTGGTGCTTACGAATAAAGCAGACTGGATTGGAAGGGTTTCCCCATAATGGAATTTTACAAAATTCAATATGTAATAGTCGATAAACATATCGGATACGAGTGATTAAACAAGTAAATAATTAATTTTTATAAAATATATATTTAAAATTATTACATTGATTTTTTTAAAAATATATATTTTAAATAATAAAAAATCAAAACTAAAAATTCTCATCGTTAAAAGTCAATAAATAAGAAATTTAGTGGAATGGAGATAATATATTTATTATTTTGTTTAATCTTGAAAATTGTTTTAATTAAATAGATTGACCGAATATGTGAGAAGGTGACCCCAATTTAACATTTGTTATTTGTTTTTGTGTTAGATTGGAACTAGGCTAATCAAAGAAATCATCCATTTCTTATAACTATAATTTTGATTCCTTTTCCTTTATAAATTTCTATAACAACAATAATAATGGAGGTTGAGCATCATGGTGGGTGATAGAAAACAAAACGAAAATAATTAAAAGAGACAAAAATGTTGAAGCCATTGATGTCAATGGTGGTGGGGTTGGTGGCGGTGGCGCGGCGCTCCCGAATATCATTCCAAAGAAGTTACCATCATCAGTGGGCCCTGCACCGCCACTGTTGGTGCCGGTGCTGCTGTAGCCGGTGGCGGATCCAGGATAAGTAAAGCTCCCAGTCTCTTCCCTGTAACACCCAGCATACAAATAGTCAGTCACACACCAAAACTCGAAAGATTCTTATATTAATATAATGTGTGTGAATCTAAGCAGCCAAAAAGAAAAAGGGTCAGATGCATGAGAGAAAAAAGGGAAAGGGAAAGGGAAAGGGAAAGGGAAAGGAGGGGCCCTGCAAATTGAGAAATAAGTGAGAAGGAAGCCTCTTCTCCTCTATGTTATCGTCATACGTTCATGTACAGTTGGAAAGCAGATCAAAGGGAATCTAAATTCACTCATATGCCCTAAAATAGGTCAGAAATAAAGCTAACCCCCTTCCCACTTTACTCCATCTCTAGTTAGATCCTATTCTACGTACCAAATTTTAATATTTTAAAGATACCAATTAATAAAATTTTAGAAGCAAAAAGAAATTATTAATAAAAAAACATGAAAATGTAAAAATTTTAAAAGAGTAATCCTCACTCGATTCATCTCTGCTCTCTATTCTACCCTCCCGGTTTTCTATTTCTGAAATCAGAGGATGATAGTTAAATTTATAAAATTTAAATTATTGTTAAACTATTTTTTCTAATAAAAAAAACTTATATCGTAGATAATATTTTAGATTTTATACATATTCAGACATTAAAGTAGATTCCAACTGTGAAATAAAAAGTAGGAATCTAAGGGGTGGATGGATACACCCTTAAAAAGAAGGTAGTGTTCCATAGATTTATCTTTAAAAAAGGGAGGACCCGCCCCATGCAAAGGCACATGAATTAGGACAAAATGAACTGTTATAACCTTATAAGGCTGGCCTTTAAACAGATTCTCATAATTACTTGAATTTATTAAAAAAATGACAAAATATGACTACCCATCTTTATATTTAGTTGAAGTTTATGATGCAGTCCCTACACTTAACAAAATATTTTTTTATTCCCTCACTAGTTGTTGACATTAATATTTTCAATCAAAAATTGTATAAAAAAACAACGCCGTCAACAATTGAGTTAAAAATTTTGAAACAAAAATAAAATATTGGTATTTATTTTTTAGTACAAGATTTATTTCTCAAATTTTATTAAATTACAAGGACTAAGACATATTTCGGCAAAAGATGTCTTAAAGATGAGGGAAGAAAGTTACTAATTATGGGATTTTGTTTAAAAAAATGTTTCAAAAGCACTTTTTTAGAAGTTAATTAATGTAAGATTCGATTGGTAGATATATGCATATTTATAGGGATTGATTAGGAATTATTTAGCTATGATCTATTTTTTTAGATATAATATTTTTTATTCTGAATTCAATCAAAATTAATACCCTAATTATACTTTTGTTTTTGCATACACCACCTTTGTCAATGCTTGACGTCACCTGCTAATAAATTTCATTAATATATATTTTATAATAGTGCTATATTAAATATTATAATTTAATAAATCAATAAGAATATTATATTTAATAAATTTAAAAATATCATTAAACGCTTATTTATTTCTTTAAACTCAAAACACGCAATATATATATATATATATTAATACTTAAATTTGGTAATTTTATAAATTAGTATCTAAATTTAGTTCTATGGACTAACCAAACAATTTTGGTAGAAAAAATTTTATTATTTCTTGAAGTTTTGGGTAAGAGCACCATAAATGTTAGAGATGTTGACATTTAATGTCAAATAATTGAAAATTATCTTTAAACAAATATTACATTATATTTATCCCATATTAATAAAAAAAATTGATACATATGTTAACTCGACATCTCAACTCTAATCCAATTGTTGGTGTAAGGTTGAGAAAGTAAAATGATATCATTGAATACAACATATAACAACCTTATTGATTGATGAAATACTACATCAAATCATATATCATTTTACTAAAAAAATCTATAAATGCAATTACTATATTTTATTCACTAACTCCTTTTATATATATAAAAATAGTAATTAACTTGATTAGTTATTCCGTGCGTGAGCACAAGGGTTGTTATGAAATTTTAGCAAAACTTTAAGCCCTATCCTTAGAATTATACCAAGACGAGGACAGGTAATTCAGTTATTGATCTAGAAAGCAAGAAAGAAAGGGTAATATTGGGATTTGGAAGTGATATACCTAGGCTCGCCGAAAACGCCGGCATTGAAAGTGAGCTGTTCGATGTAGGCTGCCGATCTAGGTTGGACGCTCGAAGCTTTAGCATATTGAGTACTTACGCCGGCGCCGGACGGCACAAAATACGCTCCGTTAACCATCAAGTCCCCGTCGGTTCTCCAATTCCAATCTGCCCATTCTCTCTCATCTGTATCCACTCTCTTTGTCACCTCTTTAGCATTGTGGTCCACCGGTGCAGTATACCTATTCCCTTGGCTGTTGATGGTGGGGTTAGCGCTGCCGCCGATGGCGTACATTTCCCAAGCAGTAAAATCATTGTTGACGACATGTATGTACCCTAGCCGGCACCTCGGCATTCTTTGCACCAATGCCTCTCCGAAGTGGTTAAACGCTATCGTCACCTGCATTCCCGAATCAGCCAAATACCTGTCATTATGGCCTAAAAGCATGACTTCGTTATGGTGAGAAAAATAGCTGTTGCTTATGGTGATTCCGGTTGAGCCCATGATGGCATCGATAAGGCCGTCGGTGCAGTAACTCAGGGCGCAATGATCGATCCAGATTTTCTGGGAACCAAAAATGGAGATTCCATCACCGTCTGATTTTCCTCTCCGTCCCACATGCGTCGGCGAAGATGCAATGTCGGTGTTTCCCGAAGGCTTACAATGGTGAACGTGGATGTTGTGTATGATAACATGTTGAACATACTGCAACGTTATGCACCCGTTTCCGGTTATGTGAACGGTCGTGCCGCGGCCGTCAACGGTCTTGTATGAGTTGAAGATGAGCTCGTGTTTGAGCTTGATGACCATGTTGGTCGAGAAGATGATCCAGAGGGGTTCATCTTGGATGACGGCGTATCGGAGTGTGCCCGGTTTGGGGTTAGCAACGTCGTGATCGGAGGAATCCACGACGTTGTATATTCGGCCGCCTTTTCCGCCGAGGGTTCCTAGTCCGAAGCCGATGGAGCAGTCGGCTAAGCGTTGACGGGTGTTGTACCAGTTGGGGTCGCACCGCCAGCAATCGTCGATGGGGTTTCCCGTTAGACATTGATCTTTTTGGGTTACGGAGAGGGCTTGTCTTCTTGATATCGACACATTTAATCTCCTACAATGATTAAAGGAGAGGTTCTGAGTAAAAATGCATGTAAACTTTCCTGGAATTCTGCAAAATTTTCGGGAAACAGGGGAGAAAAATTGAACAACAGAAAAAGCCCATAAATGTTGGGATCAAAGAGGCCTACCTTTGAACATCATGAACAACAGATTCAGGGTCAGGATGTTGGTGAGGGAGGCTAAGATTGAAAGCAGCTCTAGCAAATGAAGACAAAGAACCCAAAATACATATTAAGAAAATGCAGGTGAAAGGAAGCATCCTTGGACAACAACGGAAACCTTTCTTCCTTTTTGTAATAATAAAACAAAGTGTCCCTTCTTTGAACAATTAAATGTTTTTCCTTTTCTTCTTCTTCTTCAAAAGCTGAAAAATATTAAACATTGGATAACCAGAAGTGATTTATAAAATAAGCAATCCCAAAAGAAAATGTCATGAATTCATGATGATGACAAAGAATAATTAAACCCAAATAATAACAAAAAAACATTTTTTTTATCTTCTTTCTTTTCAAAAGGCTTATCTAATCAAAAATTTGAAGAAAACTGCGTTTATATTGAAACCTTGTCTGTGTCTCTGTTTTCCCCCCAACTTTTGCAGACTCTCTGAGTTTGCTCATATTCTTAGATTGCTGTATAATTATTCTATAAAACATGAAATAAATAAGCAAATATAGGGTAATTTATGGAGAGGAAAACTGGGGGCTTATCCAAAGCAATAATAATAGAGAAAAGAAAACCCTTTTTGTTGCATAGAAATCAAAGGTGCCTTTGTTAGAGGATTGGGGTTCTTTACAGCATGTATTTGTAAGTATTTTACCCGGTTAGCAAAGCCGCCTACAACTAGCAGTAATTGCGGCCGCCGTACTCTTTTTTTGTACATTGTTTAATATTTTGGTATTGGCACAATTTCAAGTCAAAACCTATGTTTCAATGTACTGTAAATGGCTAAATGTTTATGTAATCTGCAGTCTAAATCATCACTTGATAACTTAAATGTCATACGAAAAATTTGAGTTGATAATTTTTTATATAATATATTTTTGCATGATAAATTTAAAAATTCACAGGATCTTATGTTTATATTATACATTTATTATATTACAAATATAGTAAATACAATTACAAGCAATGTAATTAAAAAGAGTTATTTTTTAGAGTGTAAGGATTTAAGCAATTACGTTTATGAGTATATTTACGTTATTAACGTTCAACGATTAAAAAAAATTTAAACAAATATTATCTTATAATCACCTTATATTATTAAAAAAAATTATTACAATAAATTATAATAAATATAGATATTTTTTTTTCCCGTTGAAATATAATTGAAATTATTCAAAGATCCAAAGATTAGCAGCCGCCTCTTTGTCTTTTTCATTTTGAGTGGAAATGGATGGTTGGCTTTTGCATGTGGCTTGTTTCTCTCATCAAAAGTTTTCTTTAAACAATTACCAAGGAAAACTGCTTTTTCTTTTCTTTTCGTAAGGGTATTTATTCACGGTAGCATTTTCTGTGTATAGATTTATGTGAACATAAGGTGGTATTTATTTAAAAATTTAGAATTAATTAATAATAAATAGTTATATATCTGATATATGGGGTACTCAAACATAAAATTTCAAAAAGTTTGATGATCGAGCTTGGGGTTTATTTAAATTTTTTAGAGATTTATACAATTTCTTTAAAATATGTAAAGATTTAATTTATATTTTTCAAAAAATAGGGGTCTAATCAATTTTTTAAAATAATCTTGAGAAGTTTAATGAAAAACATTTGAAAATTTTGGAAGAAAAATTAATTAAAATATTTTAAAAAATAAAATTACTTTTTAAAAATGTTAAGAGAGTCAAAATATTATTTTTTTTTTTATTTTTTTAATGAAATTCTAATTTTCTAAAATTTTGAGGGGGACATAGTCCCTTTAGTCCTCGTCACCTTCTACCACCACTAGGTATTCATTTGACGCACACAAAAGTTCTATTCTCTAAATTTATTAATATGTTGAATTTTTATTTATTCTCTAAATTATTGTGAAAAATATTTTTTATGATGATGATACATAAAAAAGTAAATTTAGGTAGTTAGTTATAAGAATATGCTTCAAGTTTTTATTTAAATGAAGTTATGAAATAATACTATATATAACTCAAATATATATATATATATATATATATTAAAAATATATTCAAGTTTTATAAAATTCGTAAAAGTAAAAGTAAAATCACATAAACTTCATCTGGATTAATATCTAAAATTTGTCAAGTTAGAACATACACACATATATATATACCTTAGACTATTCTAATTAAAAAATAGTCACGAACCAAGTTACCTCATGCTTAAAGGGACAATTGTTAGTCCTAAAACTTTCAAGTTTGAGCACGACCTCTGTAGGAGTGTTTGAACGTTCATTTTTAAATAATTGAGAATTTTTCGAACAAATATTATAGTATTACCTTATAATCCTTCCGAATTAATAAAAAGTAATTTTGAATTTCCGTTAAACCAATAGAATGATAGAAGGGGATTGACATATTCATGAAAAATTTACAAATAACTTTTCTAAACTTCTTCAAGCAATGATTAAACCCTAATAAAGTTAATGAAAAAAATAAAAGAAAATCCCACTTGAAGAAATCTTGTTTATTAAGTTATGTAGTCATATGGAAACGTTTTCAATAATGTATAATAGCTTCTCTTTCACAAACCATCTTGAATCATGATTAAAGTTTTGTAATACACCAATTTTATTTTGTTATTGTCTTTAATTTTTGGTTTTATACTATGTATAATTTTTTTATTGAGTTGATGTAACATTAAATATAATATCACATATTTGATCGTGACAATTCGACCTGAATATTGAATATCAGATTGATTACTTCGGTGATCTGAATTATAACGAATTTTATTAATCATGCAACTCTAAATTTTTCTTTAAAATGAAATTCATACTGAAGCGGAAAAACTAGTAAAATAAACATACAACGTAGTGAACACATCCTACTTAATGTTTGAAATTAAACCAAGTAAATAAATCCAAACATCAAAAGAAATTCGTAAATCTAAGCCATGCTCTCATAATTCATGATCCAGATATGAAATTGTTGATGTTTATCAGCTTTGGTTTATATATTTAGTGTCATGCAAAAATCAGATTTCAAATTAGTTACCAATTTCATAATCATGACATACTAGGGACTAAATAATAAAATTGTAAAGAATTTGTATACTGACATGCACTTGTTAAATAATCGGTTTATACATGAAAAGCTACAATAAATGCACTGTGTAAATTCTGACTTCATTCGGGTTAAACTTCATCTTCAATTAGTTTAGGTTTCAAAATATGTGGATCATTTTGTAAAATATTATTTATTTGAGTACCAAAAGAAAAAATCAATTGTAGGTGTTTTAAAGGACAATTCGAAACAATTTTTTTCGAATCGAAAGTTAATATTTTTTTCTCGATAGATCAATCTTTTATGCAAAGAGATTTATTTTTTATAGAAAATTACAAAATTAAGTTTAGTTGTGCATAATTGAATTAATCATATATTTATTTTTTAATATTTATATTATTTGCATGAACCAAACTACTTTAATGGTTAAAATAACGGTTGTTATCTTTATATGCCCTAGATTTGACCACCAGAGATTATAAGGATGTAAACTTTCATTGTTAAATGATTAATAATCTTTATAACATATATTACCTTGTAATCACTTTAAATTAATAAAAAATATTTATATTATCTATATAATCATGATTTATAATAATTTATTTTAATTATAATTACTCAACATAATGTTTAGGTATTATATATACCAAAATATGAATGTTAATCGGATAAAATTTAATTACACTGTGATTTTTTTTAATTTTATACAAATTTGGGATCGTTGGATGAGTGAAAATATATAACCGAGATTAATAATAAGAAATGAAAGGATATTTATTGGAAAAAAACAATGAGTTAATCACAAACGTCTATTTTGACTCATCCAACAATTATAAATTTGTGTAAAACTAAAAACAAATTGTGTATGTTAAAAGAATCATTGTTGTTCCTAGAGTATTTACACCTTTTTAAGATCGTTAGATGAAGGAAATGTGTGCGTGTTAAAAGAATCATTGTTGTTTCTAGAGTATTTACACCTTTTTTAAGACCGTTAGATGAAGAAAATTAAATGTTGGGATTAACCGTAGAAAATGAGAAGATATTCACTAGAAAAAAAATAAAAAGTTAATCTCAACTTTTTATTTCTCTCATCTAACAATTCTAAAAAAAATTGTAAAAGTGAGAAACGTTTCTGAGTAGAAAGCTAGAATTTTATTTGCAGATTGGATCTCATAGGTTTTCATTCTATTTGATATACTAGAAGATGCCTTTATCCCGTTATAGCTAAATAAATCCGATTCGGCCATACAGTTGGTTACCATTCTATTTGCAGATTGGATCTCGTAGCTTTTTAATTTCTAGACAATATTTTTCAAAAAAAAAATCAGTCTTAATTCATATAATAATCATTAAATTTGTTAAATTAAAGTTTGCTTTATTTTTTTTAATATAATCCATATATTATAAATTTAATTCATATTTTTCAATTTAATAATTTTTAAATGTTTATAATTTAATCATATTATTTAAGTCAAAATTAAAGTTTTAAAAATTGATAATTACATAGACTAATTTAAAGAATTATAGAATAAATCATTATGCGTATATTACAGTGATTATTGGCAAAATTATACTTTGAAGAAATTATAAGGTAATATCTATTCAGAATCTTTCTTAATTATTGACAATGCATACGCACTATGTAGACACACTTCTCGAACCTGAATTCTCTAGGAAGAAGAAGATTTTATTTTTTCACCGAGATCACTTAATAAAGTACAGAGTCTAACTTGATATACTTGAGTTTTGAATATGAAAAACATATATATCAAATAACCTTAATTTTGTTAGACTCTGTGTGAAAAGGCTATCAAAGTTTTGGCATGAAAATGAGCCAAAGTAGGGCATATCTACGTATGTGAGTGTGTATATATATATAGTCCAAAGCATGAAGAAAAGATTCACATGCGTTGCCTCGAGACAGCTTTAACTTGACACACAAAACAGATAAGATTTAGAAGATTTCTAAAAAATAATTAAGCGTGAAATAAAACAAGATCGTTTGCATGACTTGGAAAGTTTTCTTATAAAGATAACGAAATGTTTTTATATGAGAAAAAGGTACATGGTATTATTTCAGATAATATTTGCACACACTTTGCAAGAGAAAATGATTTTTACATTAAAACTATATGTATTAAGCATCGAACAAATTCGGTATACACGTGTATATATAACAAAAAAATTTAAAAAGAAAATAAAAGTAAATTAATAAAATGTTATAAAATTAGATAAATTTAATTAGACCTGTTCAAAATCAAATATTTAAACGAGTTTGATTCAAAGACCATATTATAAATTTGATTATACATTAGTTTAGTCCGACCCATATTATTATTCAATTAATTCAATTCAAATTAAATCATTATTTAGTTAATTTTATTTAAATTTAATTGTAAAATATATAAACATTAACATTAAAATACTTTGTATTATTTGAGATTAGGAAACCTAATTTTCACTTCAATTGAATTTAGCTAATGTACGAAAAAAAAGAACTTTTGACAAACAATTATTTATCTATCCAAAAGTGATATGATTCAGTAAAAAAAAGCCATTCAAAAATATTCCAAACCCAAGTAGCAAAGAAAAAAAAAATTTAATAAAAAAAATACATAATTTTTAGTTCGTACGACAACATCATCCTTAGTCTCTATCAAGCTAACTGCCACTAACGGCAGGGTTCTATGCTCTACAAAAAGTGGGTAATGAAAACGGAGATATACAATTCCAATGGACGATATAGTCGCATATATCACACTCGAGCTAAATCATAGCAAAACTCACCACATATAACGCATCTCAAGTAATAATACATCTTTCTAACAAACCTGAGGGGGTGTGAGTGACCCTCGTGCATGTACGTAATCCCGGCCTTAACGAATGGATATTTTCCGAGAACACATCTTCCATGAACAGAAGTATCGCACATCGAGCAATGATAAAACCATTTATTGGGATCTCTTATTTCTTCACAGATATCACAAAAGTGATGTTCCGGATCATTGCTTTTGTCTCGAAGACAAAAGTGATGTTCGGAAGCGTAATGCATTCGAAATGCACAGCATAATCGCTACTCTTACATCTGTATGCATTATATACCCATAGACCACAAGTATTGCATATCCCTTTATATTTGGAATCCCAGAAGAGAGGGTGTTCATGGCTAGGATGATCGAGGGTATCGGGGATTGTAGCACATTTAAGACAAAAAGAGAGCTCGCATTCATCACAGTTGTAGACGAAACCACAGCATTGTTGAAGACAGATATCACACGTAAAAATGCAATTGGATTCAAGTTTTAGCAAGTGTATGTCAAACCAATGATGCTTCTTCGTAGGTAATTCGGCACAAGAATTGTGGAGAAGGAAGTTGCATCCCAAACAATAGTAAAATGAACCCAAGATCGATAGCGTGCATCCATCACAATGTTTGTCGTCATCCTCCTCGATCGTGTCTTCTAATACTAAGCAATGTTCGTGGCTGAAATGTTTTATCTTCGTTGCATCTCCGTTTTCGTTCCACTCAATGACACAAGTGATTAAAGATTCGATAGGTTCTTCTTCCGACTTGTCTAGATTTTCTGAATCAACTATGTAGTACAAATCCGTATCCTCGGTAGCACAATTCACATGAACAAAGTAATTGCAATCCTCCCCCAAGCAACGATAACACCTCAATGGTCACTACATTTTAGGTAAGTTTCCTTTTTAACCAAAAAGTGTAAAACATTACATTATAATCACTAACATTATTAATTTAAAACAAAATATCATTTCACCATTAGTCTCGCGAAATTGATGATGTGACACTTAACAATAGAGGGTAAATGTTACAAAGAGAAATTTGTTATTTTTGAACTTTATTATGTTTGGTCATTAGAATTCTTTTCATTTTTTATAATCGTCCAAAACGAAAAAATAAAATAATAAAACAGAATGAAAATAAGAGTTTTTCCCCTAAAATCATATAGAAAAGTTAAAAAAAAAAATAAGATGCGTGCGATCTCAAGTAAACAACATGTACGACACCGATTTCATTCAGTAAAATGGCCCATGCAGGTTTCGAACCCGACCTTCGCGTTATTAGCACGACGCTCTAAACGACTGAGCTAATAGGCCCTTATTTTTCCTAAATTGGTCTCTGAATTATTTTGTCCATTGGTCTTGAACTTGGATTTTTGGATCATTTTAGTACTCTTGATGTTGTGGAACAATATAAGAATACCCCATTATCAATACCTTGCAATTTACACAAATCAAACATTAAAATACTTGAAATCGCCTTCTCAGTAGCACAAGTTGTTGGAGATTAGCAACGACGAAGTTCTTCCAAGATAGAATTTGAATAGTTTGCATTTGCAAGCGAAAGTGTAAGGTTAACGGTTCTACTTGCCATACTCATAAGTTTATCTTCTTCTCTTGCCTCTCAGCTGTATTCTGATTATGTGTGAATTAAGCGTTAAAAAATCGAAATAATCCTTCTCTGTTTATCTGGGTACGTGTTAAAACCTTCATCAACCAGCGATTACATAAGGAGGAACCTTCATCAACCAGCTATTACATAAGGAGGAAAGTTACAACATTCATCAACAAACCAAATGCCAATGTCATCTGAATTCTAAAACCGTGCCAGTGAACAATAATCCACACATGAATAAGGGTAACGATAAGGAAATCCATCCGCCAGAAAAGTACCTAGGCTCTCCGTGCTACACGTCCCGGTTGGTACTCTTTAGATCCTCGTTTTCATTGCTAAGTGAATTGATTCTTGACTGTAGAATGCTGATCATAGTTTGAGCACTCATCAGTTCAAGCTTCAATGTATCCCTCTCCTTGGCAATTTTGTGGACCTCGTTTTGCAATTCCCTTATAAGTTCCATGCAACCAGGAGGAACTACAGATTCTAGACTACTTGTGACGAATTTTGGTGGAGGAACACAAGGATTCTCTTTCGGCTCGATAGATTCCATCAACGAAAATCCCAAGAGTGTGGAAATTGCCCTTTTTTTGGCGGATGATGGAGACGTTGGAGTTCCTTTAGCTGCTGCCATTGTTGTTGTAGGCGAGATAAGATATTGTAAGATAAGATATTTAAATTGATACTAATGGTGAATGATGATATGTTGTTTATGCCTTCTATTATTGATGTTTCTGGATTAAGTTATTATGCATGCTAGCTATTGTACTGCATTTCAGCTATATTTCTACTGGAATGACTAAGGGTCGTTGCTCACCTACAACAATGATGGATTGGCAGCAGCTAAAACAACCGCAATGTCTCCATTATCCTTATGTAATCGCTGTTTTTGTAGTCGATGATGACATTGTGGTTGTTTTAGCTGCTGCCAATCCATCGTTGTTGTAGGTGAGAAACGACCCTTAGTCATTCCAGTAGAATTCTCATAATATTTGCATGGTTTGGACCTGAATCATCATCCTGCCTTCTCTTGTATCGGGATAGAGATAAGGGTGAATCTCGATTATGAATGCATAGCGGCAGACAATCATGTGATCTGTCAATCTTGCATGGAGGTAACAAAATACGGTCATCCGTTCTGTCATTTGGCGAGTCTCTCGGAACTTCATCACTAGGTGGAGCATCCCCATCCAGATACTGAATGTCCTGCCATCATAAAACAGAGTTCAGAAGCAATTCTTAAACCAAGGCCTAAGAATAAAATGAGGCACATTACATTTGGTTAAAATATAACAGCAGCATCTGAAATATAAGCAGAGCACTAAAACCCCTAGAGATAACAACTAAATCAAGAACAGTGTCTAACTATCTTATGTTACTCGGACTCGGGTTAGCCAGATATCGGTGTGTGTTTGTCACAGACATGTTCAAAGCTTCTCCATTTAGAGGGTCCTTTGACCGTCATGAAATCTGGTGTTCATATTTGTAGATATTCCGGGAGAGAATCAAAAGTTGCCGCTCAGGACTGAGGTTCTTCATTTTCTGAATTACCAGTGTCTGAGACCCATGTTTGAAATGTACCTGAACATGGGTATAGGGTTATAATCCTCTGAGGACCTTCCAAACACATGATAATCTTGAACGTGCCCACGTTGAACGCATCGTGTGTAATTCTCACACCAAGTAACAGAGCTATAAAGTGCCCTTATAGAAATATAGAACTTGCTTTTACAAAACTATCATTGTAAATCAGAGCTTAGCAGGCTCAAATAAAGGGATAAATGAAACAGTTCTTGGGCATGGAATCTTCCATTCAATGAAAATGTCAAATAGGTGCAGAAATATTCAATTATGTGTTTAGCGTTTGGGAAAATGTTAAATTGTTACATAAACTATAAAACATGTGAAGTCATCAAAGCGAGGATCTAAGGAAAATTCAACACTTCAAAAAACATGAGCATCTGCGGAAAGGTTCAATCTTATAATAATGTTGTGGCAAGAGAGATAAAGCACAAACCTGCTCTGAACCTATCCTTTGAACATTGTTGCTTCCGATCACTGCATTCTCAACAGCTGCCACATCATTGCCAACTATCGAATCATTAACAGCAACAAGATCATCCTTGGTGTCTACTCCAGGAATCAAAGTGGTTGAATCATCATCCCATTCAGCCTCAATGAAAGGTGCATATCGGTTTCCATTTGGTGGTCCGATATTATTCTTATGTATTACTCTACATAGCACATAACCCTAAACCACCAAAAAGAGGTGGGGGAAATCTTATTAGTTTCTGATGGTACAATCGTACATTTTGGTCATAGAGAAAATTGTAGGGCTTCTAAACATAAGGTTTTAAAATACTAATAAACCATGAAAAAAGAGAACACTAATAACCCTACAGAATAACCTTTGGATTTGTCTTTCCATATACGTGGAGGGTCCTTAGAGAGCTACATCTAACATGGTGTGTTGGACACAAGTACTTTAAATAAAGAAAAGTCGGAGTAACACGGAATACACATATTGCTAACTGTATCAATAAAAACATCATAACATATGACAACAGGAATCAAATTTACTATTCTTTCTCTAAATTTTCAGAGAAACGGGACTACAATGAAACAACGGTAGCAGACACATAACCAACTAAACTTAATTTTTCCACAAAGAAAAATGTGTCTGAAACTCAGGTCCATTCTTCAGTATAATCAGATCAATGCAGCATAACTCACTACCTAAGGCACAAGATACTAAGTATTTCATGTTAAAATTCTATTATGGTTTAGGATTTAGGGTGAAACCCGAGGCAGCAGTTGATGTACACAAAAGCGTAATCCGTAACATCAACACTTGGAATGACACATAACAGATCATTCAACATCAAGCTCAATTCAAACATGCAATGCTCCAATTTTTACCAAGTATTTCATGCTGAAATTCTATATCTTTTGTCATCCAAAATACAGCTGAAATACGGTGCAAATATAGCTAGCATACATAAAAATTTAATCCAGAAATATTCACCATTAGTATCAATTTAAATAGTTTCAAACCTGCAATGCTCCAATCCTTTCTAATTCTTCTTCAACGAGTCGGTACTCATGCATAACCCAATTAGTTCGCAATCCTTCGGGAGCTTTCCCACTATGGAAGACTAACGTCTTCTTCATCCCAATAAGCTGTGAATTGTGACGGACCTCTCGGTCCTTACCCGTCGCCTTCCAATATCCTTGGTTTGTAGCCCTATTCATTCTTCCCCCATTCACATACTTCTTATCCAATGAACTGAAGAAATACCATTCCAGGTCTCTGGTTTTCAATCTTGAATTGTCTGAAAAGCATTCACCAATAATAAACTTTAGCAGCATAAATTGAAAATAAACTAAAACTGTCATGATTCACAGACTATGGTAATAGCAAATTTTTAATATATTTCTAAAATTATATTATAAATATGTATATCTAAATTTCAAATAATGATGTATTTAGCCCAGTAGACAAATACTCGAAAAGTAAAAATGATATTGTCAAAATTTCAGTTCAGAAATCCCCGAAAAAAAGTATTTTCAGAACTAGACTACAAAAAAAATTTTGAATATAAACTTCTAATTCTAAAAGCCCATTTAAATATATATAATAAAACTAAAATTAAAAAAATTAAGAGTTCAACCTGAAAGATTCCAAGGTTCATGCTTGTAAATATCAACTTCAGCAATAGCATTAAACCTGACGGGCTTGTTCAGAACTTTTCTTTTCAAATAATAGCTAACCAACTCTTCATCTGTTGGGTGGAATCTAAACCCAGGTGCTAAAGCAGTCGCTGAACTGCCAGTCTTGACCGCCGCCGTCATTGCCGCCGCCGTTGATCCTGGATCTGCAGCAAAAGAAATTTCACGATCCATAGAGATAATCGTTTGGGAAAACGAAAAATACAAAATAGGACCTTTTATTGGGTGATAGAAAGAATTGAAATCAAGATATAAATATCGAGTTTTCTTGATTGATGATGAAGAAACAAAGTTCCTTCGATTGCAAGAAATTTCATTATTTTTTATTTGTTTTGTATTGTTTTAGCAGTAGAATATTTTATTCGGCCGAAGCGTGTAAAATAATTTATCATTTATTGTTACGGTGCATTTGATTCGCAAAAAAAAAAATTATTTTTAGAAAATAAATTTTTTAAAATTGTATTTTTACGTTTCATTCACATAAAAAATAATTATCATGTAATAATTTATTATCTATAATTATAATTTTTAATTAAACTGATAAAAATATTGTTATTTTTAAATTATTAGGTAATGAATAATTCTCACCACTTATGATACAAATACTCTTAAAATAATAAATTCTTTTCATATGAATAATTCTCAATTTTTATTATCTGCGTTACACTCAAAATTTTAAACTTAATAATAATAATATACAAAGAGTTTAATTTTATAAAATATCAATAAATATGAATAGTTAAAATTATTTTATATTTTTAATATTCAGTATATTAATTATTTTATAATTTTATGGGGTGAAATTGTAATTATTGTAAAAATATAATTATTTATAACAATATCTAATTTTGAATCATTAAAAAATAGATTTATATATTAAAAAATAAAAGATTTGTTCACTCGAGATCACAATATTTTTTTATATTATATTATATTTTATATAAATAAATATGATACTTATTAAAATTATTTAAAAACATAAGTTTGACATTTTAATTATATTAATTATCTGTTAAATGTTTTTTTTACTTAGATACTGTAACAATTAAATTTTTTATAATTTTTTTAAAATATTTATAATTTAATATTAAAGTTTAACCTATTAAAAAGAATATATATCACAATGATAATTTGATAAAATATGCATCCAATTAATCTTATATTCTGTGAATCAAACGTCCCCTTAGGCCTTAGGATAAACTACACCATTTGCTACCGTACTCTAATAAGAGTATCATTTATACTATTTTATACTACTGAACTTTTAAATTTTAAATTATGACACTGAACTTTAATTTTAACTTCAATTTATCATTAGACTATTATCTAAACTATTTTTCGATCAATTTAAATGTGTAATATTATAAACATTATCATTTTAATTATTCAACTGTGACTTATATTGTGGTAATTTTAAATATTTTATTTTAAAAAAATTAAAAATAAATTACTGTATTAAAAAATGCATTTTAAAAAAAGTTCCCCTCCTCCTGTCCAAAACTCCTCCTTCGTCTTCTTACAACAACAATAAAAATAATAATACTATCCTTCTTCTTCTTTGAACTTACAGCACTTGTTTATTTTGTTCAACTTCCACACATATAAGTAAATCCAAAATTTTTATACCAAGCATTGATGAAAAAAAAATCTCACACCAAATTTTTTATTAACTCACTGTCTCAACCATCCAGCCTTACAATAACTTGGTGAACTGCAAAACAATCCAAAGGAAGAATGATGAAGACCAAGAGTTTGCAACAGTTGGATAAAGATCAAGAGTTGCAGGAATTATCATTGCTGCACTGAAGCTCTGAAAGCTAAGTGTTGTACTGAACACAGTTAGGACAGTGGGGGACAGTGAGGGGGACAGTGAGAGGGAGGAGGGGAGGGGAGGGAGAGGGACGGGGGTTTGTGGGAGGGGGGAAATTTTTAAAAATATATATATTTTTATATAAAGATTTACTTTTAAGTTATTTTTTTGAAAAAATAAGATTTTTAGTTTTTAACGACTATGACTATGACGATTGTAACGTTAGGCATATAGATTGATCGAAAAATAGTTTATGCACCTAAATGAGAAAACGGTATAGTTTAGGTATTTATTTTTATATTAAACCTAAATTTTAATGACACGATAGTATAAACAAATCTTTCTGTCATAGTAATGACGTGGATAAACGACATAATTTTAGTGCAGTTATTGAATCCAAAATAACATTGTTTTAGACACTAAACTTTAAGAGTACATCACATTTGCCACTAAACTTTGACAATGTTTACTTTTGTTACTAAACTTTTCCGGTTATTGTTGTAGTCAATATTCGTCTTTCACAACAAAACGTTCACATTTTCTTTTTCTTTTTTCTCTTATAATTGATTTTTGTACATTTTACTTAAATTTGATGAAAATCTATAAGGTTCGATGATCATTCGATAAGTCTAGTTTTAAGGTATACTGTTAGTTTTCTTGAAAAAAATGTTTCTCATTGTTCGTATTTTCAAACAAACACCATAAACCTCTCAAATTCCTAAAAAATAATAGATTTTTTTGTTTAATTTTATCAATTTTAAAGAGTTTCCATAAAAAAAAACGTTCCAAGCTTCCGCCAGGTCCAATAGCATTATTAGTCGTCGGCCACCTCCATCTCCTCATTCATCAAACTTTCCACTAACTCTTCTCCATCTACTATCCCTTGATGCGTCTCCGCACTGGGTCTTAATGGCTTCTTCCCCAAAGCTCGTCGGAGAGCTTCTCAAAACTCACGAGCTCACCTTCTCCGCCCGCATGCATAACGCTGCTACCGACCACCTTACTTACAACTGCTGCTTCACATGAGCAGGCCATTAATCTAGCAGGCCATTAATCTAGCAATTACGATCAATGCTTCGACTGGAAAGTGACAGAAACGCAAAATATGATGTATCCTTAGTTTAAAAGGCACTAAGGCGCACCGAGATGCAAATGATCTTTGGAGCCTAAACACGAGGCACAGAATGAAGGCTTGCGCTTTTTGTGGAGGGGACACACTTTTATAAAAAAAAATATATAAATCAATTATAGATAAAAATTAGGATTTGAACCTTTTATTTATAAAAATATGTAAATGAACCAAGGTTGGAGCTACTATTTGTAGAAAAAAAACTGTATATGCTAGAAGGGACCTTTTTATAAATAAGCTTTAGGGTTCAAATAAATTATAGGTAAGTACTAGAAGAGCCTTTTTTATAGGTAAATGAACCGCCGTACTGCGTTGCGCCTGTGCCTCCGAAGGCGACTTTTCTGACGCCTTAGGCGCGCCTTTTAAAACTAAGAATGTATCTAACGTGGTTTTTTTTTTTTACTTTTTTATTTGCCAACTCAAATATTCATTAATGAATTAACGAAAATTAATGACGAAAGAATTAATGTTGAACGCACAGACAATGTAAGAAATCCAAATTATGTTTTTTGCCGACTCAAACAGACCAGAACCATAAAGGTTCATCCATAGAATCTTCTTTTTTTCCCTTGTTATAACCAAAGCATTCTTACACAAGACGTGGAATTTTTTTAAATTTTTTTTAATTATCTAGTACCACAGAGTTAACGACTGATAAACTGAAAAGACTGGTATCACTTTTTTTAACAGATGATCAAAATTAGTAACGAAAGACCATTTATATCGATTCTTTTATTTTCACCCTGCCAAAGTTCGAATAATGTAGAAGAACAGCAGAAATTTATAAATTAAAACTTCTAAGTTTCTAGTTATCCAAACAAACTAAATGTACAATAGAAGAGTTTCAAAAGCCAAAACAAAGATGAAAGAGTGCTTACCATTAATCAAACTACAAGGATCTTATTAACACGAGCCACACCCCCATCACGTTACCCTAAAATAGAACTAAAATTCCCAGAAAACATGAAATTTCCTTCATCTTTTCCCTTGACGCCTTGCATCTCCTACTCATTACAAATGTTGGTCCGACCCGGTTACTCCCTTCCCCTCTTGGAGCCACTCTTTTGGGCCCTCGTATTTCCTCGTTTTCCGGTGGAACTGCCTCCAGAACTGACTCGGGCAGCGCCGGCAGGGTGAAGAGGCACATGATGCCCAGGAACCAAAGCAGGGAACCCAACAGCAGGGATTCTAAAAAAGCAAGCAACGATAAAACTTTTCAACAAGCTTAAAAGAATGAACCATCATAATAGCAACAATGTCCTAATAAGTAAAGAAGAATACAAAACGCATTGAGTTCTCCGAGTTCAGTGTAGATCATTAAGTCGTTAAACCTTACTGGATAAGAAGAAGAATAAGCCGCAAAGCAGCCCTCCTTTTGAAATCTATACTTCACTGATAAACTTATGTAAGTTTCAAACAAACCTAAAGCTAAAATCAAACCCTAATCCAAAAGCTAAACCCTACTCGAGCTAACATGGGCAAGGTTGAATATTTGGCAACCCAATCAAGATTTTGTTCTAGTAGAATAAAAATAAAAAAACAAACTTAGCAAAGGTCATAAACAAGTATCAGTTTGCTAAGCAGCTGACTCTACCTTCTTCAGAAATACCTGTATAATGCATATCCAAAAATAGAGAAACGTGACCTTCCAAACTCATGAAAAAGATGAACTTTCTCTTATCAAACACATATCACATTAGAATTAAAACCCAAGTCCAGTAATATAGACTATTAATGAAGACAAGCAGTCCAGTAACATACACCTGTACGCACACTTCATATACGACATTCAAACCGGAGTCCCAGTAATACAATCCATTTGTGAAGAGTGACAATAGGGTACTTTCTTCCCATTGTAATATCAAACAGGAGAAGATGAAAGTAAGGAGAGATGGTATAAGAATCGTATCATACCCAACAAGAGCACGGCAGACTCCTGCTTGGCTGAGGACGCATCAAGTGTGCCACCCTTATGCAAAGTAAGACGAAGAGCTTGATTCTCAGCAATGAAGCACTGAAGCATACGGCTCAGTCTCCTACATTCTCCTTCTAAATACCTACTCTTCATCTCAAGATCCTTGACATAAATCTTCTTCCTCTCCCTTGATCTCAATGCAGCATCTCTGTTTCTCAACTGCCTAAGAAACCACATTCAGATCAATCAATTGAACTAAAACTCAAATTTGGGTTTAAAAGAAACAGCTCAGTTCACAAACGACTTGGGTTTGGCTCAAACAAAAATGAGCTTGCAGAGTGGGGCTCAGGCTATCAAACAAATCAAATTTGAGCCAAAATAGTGTAAAAAATCTCAATTTGAACTTGAGTTCTAATATAAAAATGGAGTTTGAACTTGAGGATGGGAACCAAGTTCACAGTTTACTAGGTAAAAAGGCTTAATCGAAAGAGTTCGATTGCAATCACTTCAAGCTTGAGCTACCATGCAAGTTGAATTGAAATATCTCAACAATCAAACATTTTTGTTTTAAATATTTATTTTACATTTTAATTAGTCTAGAAAAATAACAACATAAAATTTAACTCAAGTTTGAACTTAAATAGTTGAGTTAGAAGCCATCAATGAAAAACAAGCCTATGTTCCTGAACATATCAAAGTTTATTTCAAATCGAACTCAAGCTATAGAAGTAATATTCAATCGAGTTAAACAAGAGTTTCTTAAGTGAGCGACTAGACCTCTTACTTCAAATAAGACATGCAAGTAATAAATATGAAAGAAAATACAATTTTTGCGAATAATAAACAAAGATTATAGATCCGGAATATCAATTAATACCTTCTCTGTTTCTTAGCAACGGGATCGTCTTTATCGAAGTCGATGTGGGTCTGGTTTTGTTTGTGGAAATCAGAACCGTCGAGGGCCACACCGCCGCCGTCACTAGGAGGTGAATCAACCAGTAAATCCGCCAAGAAATCATCAACGGAGACAGGTTGAGTCTGAAACCTATCGTCAAAATGATCATCCTCCATCAAGACCTTCTCGATCTCTCCGATCCATGAAGACACCGCCGGTTCCTGATCGAGACTTTCGGTCGAAAAAGGTTCGGTCGAAAAAGGTTGAGGAGGCGGTTCCGCTATCGGATCCAGTTCATTCTGTAAGATATCTCCGAAATCTGGTAAGTCGGTCCCGAGTAAGAGGGCATCCCAATGGATTTCCTCCATGAGAAACCAAAGATTGTGAAAGGGAAGTTGAAATTGAAAAGGATTTACAGGGGAAGAAGAAGAGAGGTCATGTTAAAGATCGGAGAAAAAGTGAGAGGTCAAGAAATTAAACCGACCAACAGAGAAAACAAAATATATTAAACTCAGTTTACTCGGAGGCGAAGACTGCTATTTAGCTGAATTATTTTTAAGATAAAATAAATAAAATTTAACAATATATGGATTGGGCCATGTTTGTACTTTACATATTAGATTCTGTTCGGGTAGTACCCAGACGAGACAACCTTGTTTCGTTGCGTCCTGGCCTTACTAGCGAACCAAGTTTAATAAATGATTTGTATGTAAATTTATTAATTATATTTTTATTTAGATTTAATATAAAAGTAAGTGTCTGAATTATATTATTTTTTTTATTTAAATGATTAAATTATTTTTGATTAATTCAGATGTTTAATGTTATAATATTATTATTTTAATTTCTTCGACTATATCATCAGTTAAAATTTATCATTAAGTGACATGTGTAATATTCATATAATTTTAAAGATTTTATTAAAAAATAAAAATAAATTATTATATTTTAAAATATATTTAAAAAAATATTTCCCCCACCCCGTCCCCTCCCTCCCGTTCTTCGTCCCCCGTCTCTCTCCCCCTTAAACTAGTCCCTTAAACTAGTAAGAGAGCAACAGCGACAACTTTTCTTTCCCGACTCTTATATTCCAAAAAATCACCCCCAAAAAAAAATAAAGTTCGATATTACAAATCCAACCATTAATTGCCATAAGAAGCTGGAAATCGCAGAGGTTGGTCATTCCTTTGAACTTGCAGAGGAAGTGTACTAGAATTACAGAGAAGAAGAAGAGAGTTGCTTAATACCAGAAACTTCTTGCTTAGATGTTAAAGAAAAGAATGGGATTAGGGGAGATTTTTTTTTATATAAAAATATATATTTTTAAATATAATAATTTTATTTTAAAGTATTTTTTAAATAAAATCTTCAAAAATAATCATAATACAAAATTTTACTTAACTATATTTTTTAACGGTTGTTACGGTCAAACACTTAAAATGATAATATTTGTAACATTAGACACTTCTATTGAACAAAAAAATAATTTAAGCACCTAAATAGAAAAACAATATAATTTGAACACTTATTTTTATATTATGGTAAGTTATATCATTGACTACTTAATTATTTACCCATTTTATTTTTACCATCGATCTTTTAATTTTGTCAATCATACCACCTAACTATTTAATTATTGTCAATTATGTCAGTAGCCGTTAACATTTAACAGAAGTGTTGACATGGTAGTTAATAAAATTAGTATAATTATATATTTGGTCCCTAATACTTATATATTCTATCAATTTAATCCTAATTCTAATTTAATTCAATAAATTAATCACTCAATCAAGATGTGACATGTGTCAATAAATTATTGAAATGTTTTATTTATTTATTTTAATTTATTTAATTAAATAAATTTTCTATTCAATCAGGTGTTGTCACATGTCACCACCTGTTTGGTGTGAAAGTAAACAACTTGATTTGATAAAAAAAATATTTAATTAAATAAATTAAAACTAATTAATAAATAAAACTTTCTAATCATGTATTGTCACATGTCACCTCTCGATTGAATGATTAATTTATTGAATTATATAAAAATTGATTAAATATATATGTAACCCCCTAGACCCGGCCATGCGTTTCAACTAAGTCTAGTGGATCACATTCATGATTCTTAAAGATATTTTTCCGAAACCATTATTCAATCAAGGTAAAATCACATTATAAATGACGTTTATGAAATTATAATAATTTATACTATAAAAACTCAACTCATAAATATAATGAAAAAAAAACAAATTAATTTAAACATGTCTTAAAAATCCAAATTTACGATAAACTAAATATAAAAAGCAAATGAGTAATCATTATAAAATCCAATACTTTAAAATAAAGCCCATGTTACGAAAATAGAGTCAATTTAAAAGATAAAACAGTACAATACGATATACTTCAAGAGATATGTTGATCCTCCAAGTGCTCGATCAGGTGTATCTAACCAACATTATCTGAAAGGGGAAAACATTTTTGAAAAGTGAGTTAGGCTCAGTGTGTCCCAACATTACTATAAAATCATGATAGGTACACTAAACAAATCATAATCCAATAAATCTCATAAAATTATACTACAGTAAATCTCATAAAAGAGTTACCCTAAGGGAACATCTTAAGGCCTGAGAGCCTACCCAAAATAGATTTTGGGGTCGTGGGGCCTACCTAAGAACACATCTTAGGGCTGCAGGGCCTACCCGAAAATGATCTCAGAGTCGCAGAGCCTACCTAAGAGTCACATTAGCTCTGTAAAAATTTTCAGCTTGATCAGAGATGTACTTTATAAATTCATATTCCAAAAATTCAATTGCACCGTGATGTAAATTCCATAAATCCATAAACATGGTAATCATATACCATTTCAAAACAAAAATCAGATAGCAGTCATAATCCATAAACCATCACATTAAATTGGTGCATCAATAAAACAGTAACCATAGAATTCAGTGTACCACATATTAAAACAAATAAAACAGTTCAGTAATAAATAGAGATCACACCTCGATAATAGGTTCAAATAGTAGATCTATTGATTGATGGTCTCACCACGATCTGCTACAGTTTTCGAACCTAATTCATAATAACACTGTATTACTAATGGGTAACATAATTACTCTCAAAAATAATAAAATTTACGGGTCTTACGGGTGAATACTGGCACACGTGGTTTAAGTGATCTAGAGGAGCTGGGTCAAGCTGTCGAACGGTCAGGAGAGTCTCTTGTACCTTCAAACATTAGTAATTTATCAGTCTCAAGTCTTACTCAATCATTCAAAGCTGAAACTCTTAAGCACATAAGCATTTTTCGGGTTTGACTATCAATTTGGAGGCTTTTGAGTCTGAATTTGACCAAACGAATTACGGAATCGGAATCAGGACGTCGGAAAACATAAAGTATGACTTTTCGAAAATTCAAATTCTTGGTCAAAATCAAAGTCAACGGGTTTGACTGATGATTTGGAGACCTTTATGTTCAAATTTAGAAAAAACGGACCTAGGAAACGGATTCAGCACGTCGAAAAATGTCAGAATAGGTATACTCGAACAAAATCAAAGGTCGTTTAATGGCTAGTTAAAACCGGTCAAAGTTTTGGTCAAAGGTGCTAAATAGTCCACAACAATTATTACGAAAATAGCACTATTTTTAAAAATATTTACAAAAATATCACTTTTAAAAAAAATTACAAAAATATCATGTTTAAAAATAATTACCAAACTATCACTTTTTCAAAATAATTACCAAAATATCACCAAGACGGGTCAAGTCAACGTGTCGGGTCGGGTCGGGTCGGGTCAAACCAGTCAATATATAACACCCCAGTTCGAATCTTCCCCACGCGCAGGAGCTAAGCGTGGGGGCACGTGAGGCCTCCTCCGGTCTCCAAAAATTCTTTTAAGCGATTTTGAGTCACTTACCAAGATCGGTTCAAATTTTTGAATGGTGGAGAGCTCGATTTCAACTCTGTCGAATCTTTGACCACTTCACCTCCCACACGCGTCGCCGCCTACGGAGACAAGGAGGACACTGTCGGACTCGGAACAACACAAGGAACACGATGGTGTGGGAGGTATCGAAAACCGATCAACGATCGGAGATGAATTTAAGATTTTCTTTGCGGTGGTGCTAAAAAAACGTCGAGACTTTAACTCAAAATTCACGTCGTTTGGCAGTATTTCGCTATAATTGGTTTACTGGGTTTTTTTCATAGGTCGAAGATGAACAAGACGATGGTTTCAATTTTACGATTGGAGCTCGGACGGCGTCGGAATCGAGCTTGAAAGTAGAGGTATGAGAGGAAGAAAGTTTAAGCAAATTAAGCACGTGTTTTCTGATTTCAATAAGAAAACACGCTTATAATACAAGCCTGTCGATACTCCTTCGAGGAATTCAGGGCTTGGTCCCTGAATTTCCTTTAACTTCTAAAATGTCCTATAAGTTTTGAAAACTTTTAATTTAGTCACCAATTTTCACCAATATAAATATTTTTTCTCGTTTTTCCCGGTTGTTACAATTCTCCCCCTCTACAAGAAATTTCGTCTTCGAAATTTACCTTATAAGAATAATTGAGGAAACTGAGCCTCCATAGACTCCAATGTCTCCTAAGTAGCTTCAGAGGGGCCTCGGTTATTCCATTGAACTTTTAACATTGGAATACGCATATTCCAAAGAACTCTCTCATCTCTTTCTAAGATTTGAACGGGCTCCTCCTCATATGACAAATCAAGTCTCAGCTCTACATCTTCAACCTGAATGATGTGACCGGGATCTGGACAGTATCGCCTCAACATTGATACATGAAAGACATCATGAATACGATTGAGCTCAGGAGGTAACTCGAGCTGATATGCAACAGGTCATACCCTCTTCAAAATACGAAATGGTCCAATAAATCTTGGACTCAATTTACCCTTACGCCCGAATCTCAATACTTTCTTCCAGGGTGATCATTTTAAAAAGACCTGATCTCCAACTTCAAACTGAATATCTTTTCTCCTTTGATCTGCATAAGACTTCTGTCTATCAAATGCCTCTTTCAGACAGTCACGAATCAATCTGACTGTGTCTTCCGTCTCGCGTATTAACTCAGGTCCTAAAGTCTTCCGGTCACGCAACTCAGTCCAACATATCGGAGTGCGACATTTACGCCCACAGAGTGCTTCTTAGGGTGCCATACGAATACTGGTCTGATAACTGTTATTGTAAGCAAATACAGCCAACGGCAAAAAGTTTTCCCAGCTACCACGGAAATCAATTACGTAGCCCCGCAACATATCCGCAAAACAATCTTCAAATGCTCGTCATACTCTATTGCCGTCCGAGAATAAACCAGAATATCATCAATAAAGACAACCATAAATTGATCCAAATATGGTCGAAACACACAATTCATCAAATCCATGAAAGTCGCGGGAGTGTTCGTCAATCCAAAAGGTATTACTAAGAATTCATAATGACCATATCTAGTGCGAATGACCTTTTTGCAACATATGACCCCTTAACTTTCACTTGATAATACCCCGAAC